TTACAGAAAAAACGATAAAAAGCTGTATAAATGTCCGATAATGCTGCTTTTAGCTTCAATCTAGTTTAGGTTTATGCTTCGAGAGCAAGCTCATGGACAGAATTTCTACAATTACGATTGTGTATTTCCTGAAAAGGCCGATTTTTTTGTTGATTTAACAAAAAAACATAACACAGTCTTAGATTATTATTACAAAAAAGAGATTGGTCAGCATTTTTAAATAATTTTGCAATTTTTTTTTTTTATTGCTTAGATTTGTGGACGAGCTCCTAGCCCACCTGGTGTTAAGTGGTTACTGGAGCCCATAGACATCTACAACATAAATGCGCCACACACCTTGAGATATAGTTCTAAGGTCTCAGTATAGTCACAACGGCTGCCCCACCCTTCAAACCGAAACGCATTACTGCTTCACGGCAGAAATAGGCGGGGCGGTGGTACCTACCCGTGCGGACTCACAAGAGGTCCTACCACCAGTAATCAGAAGTTTTTCCGAATTGTTTTAAGCTTTCGCAGCTATCTAAACTACAAAGAACTTTTTTGTATTCGACATTTTCCGGTATGGATCTGAGATTAATATTTATAATTTCTGAGATTTATGATAAAGTTTTTATTTCATGCCTTTTTGATTGGTGAAAAAACCCCCTATTTCAGATCGTAATTTAATCAAAGAACTCAGTCAGTAACTACCAAGTTATTATTTAAATACTTGTGAAGTGTTGTAAGATCCATTGTGCATCTGATAATAGCAAAACAGTAGTTATTGCATTGTTTGTTTAAATTCAGTATATATTTGATAGATTTGATTAGCAAATGTTCCAAGATACCCAAAGCTTAGACTAGTAGACAAGTCTTTAAAAATAGAAAATGTTTTCTAATATTTTTTTGTTTTAACACGAACATAAACATTTACAATTGTCGAAATCTCGGATTGTTTACACAGCTCTTAAAGAATAAGTACGAAATAAAATCAAAAGGCAGAATGAATCTACATTCAATCCAGACTTCCTACTTCTAATCGGAATGACTCTTCCGCATTGGTGGCCATGAAGTTCAATTTGCACAGAGTAAATATAAAGAGTGACAGACAGACTTCTCTTAGGGTCGTATTAGTGTTGATTTTTTTATTGACCCTGTCCGGATGTTGGATGAAAGAGTGCAAGAGGTTTTTTTTCCAAAGCCAAAAGCTCCGTTTTCCTGGGGTTTTTCTGTCGTATCACTCTTGTCAGAGCGGTCGTGGTCGTCACTCACTATCATTGCTGTTGGCAGATGCTATGCGCCTCACGAGTAATCGCCAATCTTCTGGTTTGTGGTGAGTCCGATACACTCATGTAAACAGATTAATTCCTTTAGTAATTCCAATAAATTAAATTCCTGTAGCTATGTCAAAAAGAAGGATAGTTAGTAATAATGAAAGTAGGATATCTATATCTAGAACAGATTTACAAGCTCAAGATTCTGTTTTATACAAAAACAACATTGTTAAAAGCAGCGTAGTATGATTTTAACTAATAATAACACACCCAACTTAAGTAAAAACACAGCCAATATGCTATCGTTGCTTATCGTTTTGTGTCGTTTAATAGAATATTTTTCTACATTATATTTACATGATTATAAAACTTGTATAATGTATACGAAAAACAGTTTAAGAAAATACAATATTTTCGTACTTTTTTATTCAAACTTAAAACTCTCTACATTTGTGACAAAATGGAAACCTTATTTTGTTCGATGCCTAAAAAGTCATGAAACCCAAATCCGTTTTTTTACACGCTTTACATTAGCTTCACTTGTATGTATGTTTATAGGTTTTTATGTTTATAACTGACTCCTGTAGACGCGATTTTCACCCACTTTAAACGGTCAGATTTCATTAAAACTTTGTAGATTCATCGAGGACTTTGACAATACACTAATTTCATAAGATTATTCCATTATTCAATTTGCAAAATAAGATTTTTGCCAATTTATATTTATTATCTTTAATCGACAAGGCAGGAATTGATGTTAAAGTACATAATAGTTTTAATAATACGCTTTTATAGAAAATTTAACTAAAAATGAAAAATAAATAATATTATAGTTTAAAAAAACAAAAAAACACGCTTTATATAAAATTCAACTAAAAAATGTGGTGCATGGTGTTATTAGTTATAAATATTTTTCTGACAGATATGAGTAGAAGAATTCTTATTTCAATAATATCTTAAAAAGCACCCCACGCTTTTTTTACAATAAAATATATTTTACACTATTTTCAATTTAAATTTATTAAAATTTATTTTCTATTTTTTAGTAGAATTTTATATAAAGCGTATTTTTTTGTTTTTTTAAACTATTATTTTTCACTGTTTGTAAATACATCACTTTATGGTCATGACTGATCACAGAGGCATCTGAAATTTCCAATCCACAATCGAAACGCTATTACTCTGATCTTGTTTAGTTTCGGAATAAACGAGCTCATTAATCTTGATTAAAGTTCAGCATTACATTTCATTGTGTTTTTCATTTTAATGCAGAATCATTTTAGGGATTTGAATATTTCTGAAAGACTCCGGTCATCGTATTATCCGTTGCTATTTTAAATTTTGCACATTCACGATCTTACGAAAGTTACGCCCACGGAATATGAAAATAATTTTACGTATTATATTTACTTGTACTAAAAGAAAATAATAAACTTATTTTTCTTACTCCGCAAAGGACTAAAGTATTTAGGATGGGATTTTGATGAAGTAAAGGGGAATATTATGTTATAAGAAATAACCGCTCAACTAAGGCTTCTAACATGTATATAATAATATGATAGTTATTTAGAGGAATCGAACAAGGGAAGATATTCCACCGAGCGGGAGAAATTGCTCGGTAGACCGACCGTCCCGGATATTGTGTTTGGAACATGTATGCACAGGCTTGTCTTGAATATTTCGCAAGCGAGATTCAGGCACGCCAAATATCTTCTGTTCTATGATAGATGCTGCCACAGTTTTACGTCAGAAATCGGCAGGATGTCTCAACCCCATGTGAAATTACAATGCGCCCTAAATGTACCAGTAAATGTCGGTCGCAATATGCTATAATACTCAGAGAACGTTACTGTCGATTACTATCCGATGTATCTATTAATCTGTCTTTCCGATTACGTCAAGTAGAGGATGATAAAGTTTTTTATTGAATTGCTAATATGGGTGGACGAGCTCACAGCCCACCTGGTGTTAAGTGGTTACTGGAGCCCATAGACATCTACAACGCAAATGCGCCACCCACCTCGAGATATAAGTTATAAGGTCTCAAGTATAGTTATAACGGCTGGCCCACCCTTCAAACCGAAACGCATTACTGCTACACGGCTGAAATAGACAGGGTGGTAGTAGTACCTAGCCGTACGGACTCACAAGATATCCTACCACCAATAAGATCAGTTCTCTATGAATCAAAGAGATTGATGTGAATGATAAAAGTGCGAAAACATAGGCATTATTCACTTTCATGCCATATTTTCTCACTGCACTCATTAAATCTGAATTAGCAACCGGAACACAGTAAAAAATCACTTCAGTTCATACACACAACGTGAAATGAACGAAGGCAAATAAAAATTTTGAATCTACGTAAACATTTGATTTAATTATTCATAAACAGAGTTTTCGATGGAAATTCCAAATGGAAAATTAGAAATAATTTCTGTTTTATTAAATTCATCAATATGAATTTAACGCATCAGTCGTTCGGAAAGTGTATGGGAGAGACAGTGTAATTAAAATCACATTTTTGTAAAAGTATGATTACGTTCATTGTTTAAGATTTTTTTATTTGTAAATATTTTTGAGGAATCCGTCTGACGGACCTTAACTTTAGAACAATATTTCCATGATAGATTTAGATAAGTAACCAATTGGAATATATTCTTTATTATCACTACATAGTATAAAACAAAGTCGCTTTCTCTGTCCCTATATCCATATGTATGCTTAAATCTTTAAAACTACGCAACGGATTTTGATGCGGTTTTTTTTAAAAGATAGAGTGATTGAAGAGGAAGGTTTATATGTATAATAACATCCATTAGATAGTGGTGAAATACTGTTCTTTTTGAGGTTTCTAATGTGATGGCGTAAATAATCAAATTTCATGTTTCCGAAGCGAAGCGAGGGCGGGTCGAGTAGTAACTTATAAACTACACACACCTATTAATCGTTCATGTATGAGAGTATCTTATGAGACTTAAAAAAATATTTTATGTCCGATGCAACTCAGATAAAATTTTGGTTGCAAATAAACCAGTCGTATCAAGTACTTAAATTATTTACGGCCAAGAAATGAGTGCAATGCTTTGCACAGACAAATTTAATCTATGCTATCTATATATATAAAAATGAATGTCTGTTCGTTAGTCTCGCTAAAACTCGAGAACGGCTGGACCGATTTGGCTAATTTTGGTCTTACATTATTTGTGGAAGTCCAGAGAAGGTTTAAAAGATATGCTCGGAATTAAATAAAAATAATAATTTTGTTTTCCCTTTGATGTCCCCCCCGTCGGACGGATTCCTTTTGTTTGTTTTAAATTTATTTCATACAAAAGCTTAGGTATTTTATTTATCGATTGAGGCACTACGAAGTCTGCCGGGTCAGCTAGTTAATAATAAATTTAATAATTCAATTAGTCTAGTCATTGATTCTGTTCTCATAGTATTATTTTGCTGCTTTCTGTAATTTTAAAATAGTGAATTTTGATTATTAGGTATTATTATGTCTATAGGATAATTGTAACTGAGACTAAGAAGTCATGTATCATAGAGCATGGCAGCATTGACATAGGTATTTGATGTCTAGAGCTCTTGGGACAACTTAACTCCTCGTGGGCCGTGAATACGTTAATAAGCAATAAAAAATTAAAAAATATATTCGATCCTTTCATTATATTAAGTACCGTTTTTTTTTTGTAATTATTATAAACTTTATTTTCTTTTAAAAATTATAATAAAACTTCTTACCTTCAATAACTTCTTTTTGTGCAGCATTTTCGGGATCTGCCATTTTGAAAAAAAAAACGTAATAACAATAAATTATATTACTTTCACAAGACGTTCTCAACTTTAGATATCAATTCGGCATTTTCACGAAAACATATTTATGTCGCTTATACATATGTATGTCGTAGGTGGTAATTTATTGGCACTCATCAAAATTATTGCGATGACGTAAAAGTTAAATTCATTCATTCGATTTAACATATCATTTTTAGGATTTTCGGTTTTCACTTCACTTAAACATTATCGAATTTTAAACTGTACACAACGAAACGGTGCAACCAATGGAAAAAATCGTTCAAAATACAAAGCGCGTCATTTCTCACGGATATTAAAGCGTGTAATTTGTGATTCATCGCGCGTATATATACATATTTTTTTTTTATTTAGCACACGTCTACATGTCGCCCGTAATGCTCGCACACTGATCTATTTATAAAAACGTGGTCTATAGTAAATAATTGTTTTCAATTGCTATGCATTGTCAAGTTTCAGTAAACAATAGTCAATAGTGTCCTCGGTATACTTTGACCAATGGATTTATTTAAAATGTTGATGAATGATACCTAATAGTACAAGAGGCTCGTCTGGTGCTAAGCTATTATCTAAAGACCATAGATATCACAACATCGATGTCATCACCTTTGGGCAATATATAATAATATACATATGCTAACATCATCATCAGCCCACAGTCGTCCACTGCTGGACATAGGCCTCTCCCAACCGAAACCACTGAGTTCGGTCTTCGTCTATCCTCATCCACTTCTTGCCGGCCACCGTTTGGAGATCATCGCACCATCTAGGCAGGGGGCTTCCCACGTTACGTCTTCCGCTGTGCGGTCTCCACTCGAGAACCCGTCTGCTCCAGCGATCGTCAGTTCTACGGGATTTATGGCCACCCCACTGCCACTTCAGCTTGCTGACTCTTTGAGCTATGTCGATGACTTTAGTTATCTGTCGAATAACCTCATTCCTGATTTTATCCTTCAGAGAAACTCCGAGCATAGCTCTTTCCATGGCTCGCTGAGCGATCTTGAACTGACGGACCAACCGTATTGTGAGTGTCCACGTCTCAGCTCCGTACGTCATTACTGGTTAAAAACTTTCGTTTTCAGGCACTGTGGGATATGCGATGATAAGACTCCACGCAGTCTGCCGAACGCCGCCCAGCCCAGTTGGATCCTTCTCTTAACTTCCCTCTTCAAGCTGTGTTTACCCATCTGTACATATGTACACATATTTAAATTGTATTGAAAAAGAGCGGTACTATAGATCCAATAGGACGCATGACTATTGACAGAAATGGGCAGGATGGTGGTACTCACCCATTTAGCAGTGAAGCTAAGGTCAGCCAACCAATTGAGACTCCAATCTGGTGTGTCAAGGTGTTACCTCTCTTTCATTTCCGTGCTATACGCGACTAGACCATAATAAATATAGGGATACCTAGTAGTCGACATCGGTTTCTCGGAGGTCTACTTACAGGAAAACTGATTTTAGGGGTAGACAAGATATAAAAATCGACCCCTATTAATCAACATAGCTTCTTATTTGAAACTTTCAAAAGACTGTATAAGCTGCGTTTTTATTTATATTTTCAAAAAAATTTGTAAAGACCAACTTGGTATTTTTACGTAATTTATATTAAAACTTATCAATTACAACTGATATTTAATTTTATTAAATTTTATGTCATTTTATTAAGCCTTAATGAAAAAATGTAATTTATTTGTTTAGCCGATCACAAAGTTTTAGTTTTATTTCGTATTATCATCATCATCATAGTCGGTTACTCTTGACAGAGCAGTCGTGGTCGTGTGGAATCCTTTTTTAAAAAGCCTTGACAGTTGTTCTCCATAGTTCGCGATCTGAGGCTTGGCGCGCGCACTCGTTATGTAGGATTTTGGTAAGGATTTTCATCTGATCAGTCCAGCGCATGTGGTTTCGTCCACGAGATCTTTTACCATTGACCCTACCCTGAACAACAAGTTCCACGACAGACTATGCTGGGCGTCGCGATTCGTGTCCATAATATTGAATAATCTTGGATTGCACTGTTGACGACAATCTTTGAGATATATTAAGTTCTTTTAGGATGGAGGCGTTGTATCACTGTGGAAAAAAAACTCGAGATAGAATTTTTAAAGCAATTAGGCCATGGGGTTTAGGGTATCAGCGCTATTATTACATCTGCTAAAACTGAATAGATACTTCAATAGATAACCATTTGTACAAAGAATAAAACTTCCTAAATAAGAATAAAAATAAAAACAAACCGTTGACTGATATTCTTGAATGGAAAACTCAAACGATCTGAAACGAAGCACCGATCTATACATGTAGGTACCTAAATGTATTCTTAGGCTTATCATAACACTAAAATCATATATCTCAACCCTATAACAATATGAATATTAGGAATGCGTAAGTTATTATTGTAGCCAAAGTAACCTCTACTGAAATAATAATATCACTACACTACTCCTCGTCGAACCCGTCGCTTGCCACAGAGGGTTCGACGAGCGAATTAACCCACAGACACAGCCCACTGAGTTTCTCGCCGGATCTTCTCAGTGAGTCGCGTTTTCGATCATGTGGTAGATTCTACGAAGCACTGCTCTTGCTAGGGTCAGTGTTAGCATCACTCCGGTTTGAGCCCCGTGAGCTCACCTACTAGCTAAGGTTACGCTGAAATAGGCTCTCAAGGCCACCAGCTTAGGTAGGAAAAAAAAGTAGATAGTGTTCAGTAACTGAACGGTCGGTTCATTCGTTTGTCATCTACATATTTAGATTCTATATGAGGGGCATTGAAAAATGACCACTGCTAGTTAACGGTCATCTGCGTTCAATTATTTTTTCCAGTCTCGCGACAGATTGACAATGTGACACTCTCGCAATGTCAAGTCCGTCTTAGTCTACAATAAGTCTAATCATTGTAGGTCGTATCTCCTCTCAAAGAGGTTGCATGCCATGACACTAACATCCTAACCGTTAACATCAGCCAACTGAGTTTCTTGCAGGACCGTCACAACGGGCTGCGATTCAATCGCGATAGATGCAATCGCGTAGAAGATGCCTTGAGCTGTCAGGCATCCCTCAGCTCTCGGGCATCTGCTAGCAATTTCCACCCTTCCCGACTAAGCATAGGCTTCCCACCGATCCTGGTGAAACTGAAAAAACCTCCGCGCTATCAGTAATCTTTTCATACAGCAATAAATCGTCTTCAACGGGAGTAATCGATACGATGAAAAAAATCCATCTCTATATATAAATAAAATTGGAGTGTCTGTTTGTAATATTAAAATAACCGCTTTTTACTACATGCATATGAATATATACGGTACATACACCAAAATAACATTTTTTACAATTTTTGTCTGTCAGTCTGCCTGTCAGTCTGCCTGTCAGTCTGTCTGTCTGTCTGTCTGTCTGTCTGTCTGTTTGTTCCGGCTAACCTCTGGAACGGCTGGACCGATTTTGACGAGACTTTCACTGATAGGTAGCTGATGATATAAGGTGTAACTTTTTTTTGACTAGCTTCGCCCCGCGGTGTCACCCGCGGTACAACAATAATCGCAAGTAACATCGCGGGGCTCAGCTTTCAATAATAAAATTTAATGTTTCCAAAGCGAAGCGAGGGCGGGTCGCTAGTAATAAATATTTTTGAAATAAATAAAACATAACGAACCAAATATTCTTAAGCCGATCTTTGAATCATGGCTTACCGCGTAAACTTTACGCACGCATGTACTGTACTATGCAATTCAAAGTTTTTAATTAATCGAAATCGAACTACGCGATATCGGTTTTCAAAGATAGAGTAGCCGCAAAATTTCACTGAATATCGACCTTAAGTCTTAAAGTAGAGGTAGCATTCACGTTTTAACATTTATGTGTATGCGGCGACCGTCAGTTCATCGATTAATCAGATAAGGTTGCAACTGTCTCAGCTTTACCTAAAACAGGCTGAGTTTAGTCTAGAGTATTGAACTTTATCCCTTTACAATCACCGTGAATTTTTTAAATAAACTTATTTTTAGAAATGTGTAGAAAATTTACTATTTTCTGTCTCGTTCGCTCCTCATCTAACTTTAACTTTCAATGAACAACGGTCACTGACACATTTCGCATTTATTTAAATTCAAAGGTGCCATTGAATAGTGGCAAAAATTATGAAATTAGTTTTTTTACGACTTTATTATCTAATTAAATTAAGATTTATTAAATATTTTGAACGTGACGTACATAGTTGATACAACAACCACAATAATGTTACCTTTATAATAAAATTTCTAAATATGATGACTTCATATTTTCAAACTACACTATCGGCGTTACAAGCCTTTTTGAAATACTGATAGCTACCTTCCATCTAAAAACGAATTTACGTAAAGCATCATCTATCTACCAGGAAGTAGATAAACGAAATAAAAAGGAAAAGAGAATAAGAGAGTTCGATTTTTCTTTTATTTTCACATTTCACTCCCTTCCAATTAAGTATTTGTCTAAAAAACATATCTTAATTCAAAAATAATAATTACGAGTGTGCTTAGTTCTGAAATCAAAACGGTCAAACTGTCAAAATCAACTGTTTTATATGTTTCCAATTTAGTTTTTCCTAAAAGTTCATGTGTTTTAAATAGCCACTGCTTTACTGAGAAGCTCTATTTAATTTTGTTTTAATTGATTATGGTCGTGAATAAATCATCCTCACCTCAGCCATATCATTTTTCGCTCCACGTTTTTTCTTTTTTTAACAGAATAATACAAGATTAGGCTGTACGCTCTGATAACTTTGCTTTTCTTGTTGGAACAATGGAACTACTACTGTCAAGTCCCAACTGTCAACTGTCACAATAAAACATTCAAAACATTCCGTTCTGTCATTTCCATTACTTACGAAAAACGGGAAATTGTATTTTAAGTTTTAAAGTAAATTAACCTCATGTGAAATCAATCACAAAACACAAGCATCTAAGCTAAATAATTTATAGAATCATTAAACAAATTGTACGATGGCCGATCCCGAAGAAAATGTCCATCGTTTGGAGGGAACTTCTGGTGACACCCCAGGTGGTTTAATCATAAGACAAAAGGATAAACCTGCAGATTTTCAATTTGCCAAGCCTTCCTTACTGGGTCTCGATAAACTAGCTGCTGCGAAACGTAAGCAGAATCGCCTTATATCGTTCCAAAACGAAGAAAACGAGGACGAAGGAACGAATGTGGATAATGTGGTGAAAGAACGTAAATACAGAAAGCACAATGAAGAAACTCCCACATATACTGGCGGTATATCAGAGCAGGCACGGGAAAGACTCATTGAGCGAATGCAGAAGTATGTTTCTTAATTTCAATCATTATCTTACTTTTATGCTCTTAGTTTTGTTGTTTTTCTTAGATTAAGGTGAATTTGTAATTCTTGTAGAGATGATGTGACATCCAACTCTTACTTTATGTTTACAAAAATGTTTGCTTGAATTCAGCCTTGGCTGGAATTTTCAAGTCAACCAAAGATTCAAGATAGGGAGTTCGAACTAAAAATTAATTATTTCCCTAATGCTTTTTAACTATACCAATATTTTTTTTGTGCAGTAGGAAGTAAGAAATTGTTAAGCCAAGCTGTTAAGGCAAGTTTGTTATCGCATTGAGAAAGATATTTAAAATTCATAGTTGAGGAGTACTTTTCTTAGTCTTGTGGAATGTATATCTTTTATTTATTAATGGTTTCTTCATTTGGTAATTTAAGCCCTCATGGATGCATAACATCATCTTGCCTATTACCGCAAAATAATTATAACAAACTAGGACAATTTTTTGATTTGAAATGTATGATAACAGTATTACAACTCAATTGAGACTGATGTCTTATATGAAGGTGCGACAGTGTTTATTATTATCATGAGCATGGCTTTTGGTAAACACAGGTAGGCTGTGAGCTTAGTCATCAATGAACGAAGAGCATGAAATTGTGTATTGTTTATTCTTATTTTTTTATCACTAACAGAATGGATTGTGAAGTAGAAAAATAACTTAGTAATGGGTACAAATAAAACATATTCATTATATAATTAAAACTGCTTTTATGTTTTAATCTAATGTTTTTCTGTCATTATATTATTTCTGATATCTAATACATTGCAGTTTTTGTGATCACAAAATAAGGGACATAACACATTTCACTGTTTTTACTAATTTCAGAAGAGAAAAGCAAGTAAAGGAAAAAGGTGTACACAATTCTACTCAGGAAGAAAAGAAAACACAGGCCAAAGATGATGATGATTATTATCGTCATTATCACAGACACGATAGAAGGAACAATGACTACAGAAGGAATCAGGATAGAGATAGGAGGCGAGACAGGGATGGGGACAGTAGAGATAAGGATAGAAATAGAAGTGACAGAGATAGAAGAGATCGTGATAGTGAAAGGAGTAGTTCAAGAAGAAGTTATTACAATCCTAAATTTAAAGATGAACCCAAAACCCCAAGGTAAGTGAATTAAAAGTTTGTCCCTAATAGTAGGGTTATTTATATTTCAATATATTATCACTGCTACCCTGTCTATTTCCGCCACGAAGTAGTAATGAGTTTTGTCTTTGAAAGGTTAGGCAAACGCTACACTAAAAATCTAAAACATTATAGAATTCATAACTCAAGGGTGGCAGCATTCACATGGTTGATGTCTATGGGCTCCTGTCACTACTTGACTCCAGGTAGTCCACCCTATATATAAATGGCAATAAAAAAATGAGTATCAACTACTTAATAATTTCTCATGGTTTAAATCAATATTGTGCAATTAAACATTTTTTCTTTATCACTTTATTACTCAAATTAATGTTAGTAGCCTTTACATGTATTATTTATCTTTCAGTATTAGTGTTCTAAAGCCAACAGAAAAGACTGCCTGGGATGATGATGATGATGACCCAAGGTCTACAGTACGCAAATCCAGCTGGGACTTTCCAACACCTCTGCCTAGGGACTATGATCAGCGTAGCGAAAGAGGCAATAGAACAATGCGGGATTATAAAGGCAGACCGTATGAGAATACTCCTAGGGCCACACCGCATAAGTAAGTTGATCATTCTACCGTTAAGAAGAAATAGGATGACCTCTTTTTCTAGTATCAGTCTATAGACAAGATTTTGTCAGCAAGATTAATCTGTAACAAATATACTACATATACTTCTTGTTTGAGATACAATTATATTATTTTTTTAGGATTTTTATGTAACTGTTTCATGACCTGAAAATTCAATCAATTTTTAGCATTAAATATCAAAATAATTTTGATTTGAATGAAATTATTGATTGAAACATAATATCAGGAATAGGGTGGTTATTTACTGAAACTTTTTCAGTAGTTCAGTAGGCTTTTCAGAAGAACTCATGAAGCCACATCTACCAGCTTTGTTTCTGTTTCCCACATTTATGCACATTCACAGATGTAGACAGGTTATAAACCACCATTACATCGAAACCTGAAAAAACACTAAATGAGCAAAATAAAGAAATTTACGCAACTTCGCTCCTCATGTTGCCGCCAAAAAAGTTTTTTTTATTGCCCTTGTAGGCAGAAGAGCATACGGCCCACCTGATTGTGAGTAGTTACCGTCGCCCATGGACTTCAGCAATGCCAGGGGCAGAGCCAAGCCGCTGCCTACCTAAAGTGTAGTAAATACGTTTTTACGTAAATACGGTTTTTTAAGAAAAATAGTAAAACAAAATATTTAAATACACTAATCACAATTATCTCATGTTTGTGCTAAAATTGTGTCTGATAGGTTTGCGAGTTCTAGAAGAATAGTAGATGTAGACGATCCTGATTGGCAAGAAGCAGAAAAGAAATTAGATAGAGATTGGTACAACATGGGAGAAGGTAATAATTTTTGTAGTAATCTAGAACTAGATTGTCAGATATCTGTTCTCTGGAACTGGACATTTGAAACTGTGCTTTTATTGCGTCTAGTTTTAAAATTATAAGTTTTATTGTAAAAAAATAATTTATCGATCTACTAAAATTATAAAAAATGTAAAGAAAACATTTAAAAGTTATAGTCCAGATAATTTGTACTTAATCAGGTGCTTACTCGTAAAGTTGTGTGAATCAAGTGATTGTATTTGTAATAACAATAGAGAAAAGTATAGAACCCATAGTTGTAAATTGGTACTGCAAACCACAAACATTATTTCACAACATGAATGCCAACACACATCTAGAGACAAGGTAGAACATACTTTCCATAAAGTTAATGCTAGTTAAAAATTTGGCACAAAAATGGACTGATATATGTAAAATTAAAACATCGATTCGATGGATAAAACATTGACAAGCAAATTTTAGAACTAGAATAAATTTATATATCATTTTTTTCAATCGTCCTTCTGATTATCTAGAAGCTTGCACAAAGTGGGAATGAGTTGCTCGCTCCGGGCATTTCAATATTGCAATAATTGTTACGTTATAATACTCATAGTAAAAATGAATATTAAAAAAAATCTAATATTTAAAAAAAAAACAAATATAAAAAAAAAAAAGATATGCCCGCTGAGTTTCTTGCCAGTTCTTCTCAGGACGGTGGCTAGTTTTTGTGAATTGGCGGTAGTTCTTTTTGACGTTCAACAAGTATGTACTTTTATTTATGTTGAATAAATTTTTTTTTATTTGATTTGATTCATTTTGATTCATTAAATATTCCTAGAAATTGTCTACTACGCTAATATGTCATGTAGGTTTCCACCTGAAGAGTGATTCAATCAACAATAATAATTTGTCAGGTGAAGCCGATGAATCGGATCCGTTCGGCAACACGAGCGCGGAGTACATGGCGCGCAAGGAGGAACAAATAGAGAAACGTCGCAACAGGAAGGTGTCCGCTCAGAGACAGCAAATAGACAAGGACAACGACCTCTGGGAACGGAACAGGATGCTGACGAGCGGGGTCGTCCACGCCATCAACGTCAACAACGATATGGATGAGGTGAGCAGCTGACAGGACTTTGTATAGCGCACCGCCGCACATTGTGGTCGTATTCTTTTTTTAGGGGATTTTATGACCTGGTAACTAAGACCTTTAGGTCATGTCTTATTTAAAATTGTATTCTTATTTTTATGAAAAATGATAATATGAAATGAAATGAAATATAATCTCAGTAAAATGGTGGTCGTTTGCTGAGGCTTTTTCAGTGGACTTTTTGGAGGATCCCGAAAAGTCACGTTCAGTGGCTTTGTTTCATTTTCCCACATTTGTGCACTTTCACAGATAATAAACAGTTAATAAACCACCGTTACTACACACTTAAACCTGAAGAAACACTAACTAGACAAAATAAAACAAATCACACAACTTCACTCCTCGCGTTCCCGTCAAAATGTCTCGTGGTCATATTCAGAGGCTTATGTTAAACAGAGAAGCAAAGGAGTATTTAATTAAAAAAAACGTAAAGTACAGTTTATATTTATTTTTGTCACAGATTATAACAGAAAACTAACAGGGAAACATAAAGAGTCTGTACAATAAGTTCTGTGTCCTGTGTTCCAGGAGAGTGTTGACCGCGTCCACCTGCTGGTGCACAACATCGTGCCTCCATTCCTCGACGGAAGAATAATATTCACGAAGCAGCCGGAGCCCGTGATACCGGTACGTGTGCATAAACTTCATGTCAACTTACTGTCTGTATTGCTGTCGGTACATCTGGTGTGATATGGTCACCAGAGTCCTTGGTCACGTGAAGTCGAAGTCTCGTAGCATTGTGTATCCATTGCCCCCCCCCTTTCAAAATGGAACACGTGACTGCTTCACGCGTGAGTCACCGTCCTGTTTACTCGCGCCGCGAAATAAATATGCATCTTAACCCATGCATCAGCTCGCTGAGTTTCTCGCCGGATCTTCTCAGCGGGTCGCGATTCCGATCCAGTAGTAGATTCATTCGCGAAGCAATTGCTCTTGAGTTGTTAGATCTCCTTCGGACGCGCTCGGGCGGCTGTTAGCAAATCCCACCCCTCCTGACCGAGCCTTTGCTCGCCCACCTGTCCTGGTGAAACTGGAAAGGCCACCGGGCTACCAGTAATCCTTCAATCATAAAAAATGCAGTTTCGTTTGTATGCACAGATTTTTTTAAATATTGATTCTTTAACCTCATTAGTAAGCACGGCTGACATAAATTATGGTTTAAAGTCGAGGGACTCCGGTATTCACTTTATTATTGTCCAGGAAGGCAGTCCAGCCTTATGCCTTACCTAATGGTGAGTGGTCATCGTCGCTCATCGACGTGAGCAATGCCAGGGCCATAGTCGCGTTGCTGCGTACCGTAGGACTAATGTAAAATATATATAAATATAATAATATATGTATAAGTAAATAAGATTTTATTTATTTAGTTGCACCAACAAAGTGATCATCAATACAAAACATGGACAAACTGACAAAAGTACATAGCAGATGTCACCTCAATTATAGGTGCAATTGACAGTGCATTGACAAAAAAATAAAATAAAATATATAACTAAAACTTGATTACATTTGGTTACTTATGTTTAATTTATATTTAGTCGATTAATTTATAGTTTTAGTTTCGTGATATCGATTAGAAAGTATGTTTAATATTATAAAATAAAACTTTTTAGGTAAAAGATCCTACATCGGATATGGCGGTAAACGCACGCAAAGGCTCGGCCTTAGTGAAAGCATTCCGAGAACAAAAGGAGAGACGAAAAGCTCAGAAGAAACATTGGAAATTAGAGGGAACCAAACTAGGTAAATGATACCCGCCATTATTGTCTATGACAGCGTTTCTAGATAGATTAAAATTATAACGTTTTTTTTTTTTTTAATACAGGCAATATCATGGGAATACAGAGGGAAAAAGAAGAACTCGAAGATGGTCCTACAAGAGAAGCTTACAAATACGCGGAGCATTTAGATAAAGGTACGTGAAGCGCAGCGGCTGGCGAGCGCCCTTGCAGTCTTTCCTTTTTTTAATCTGGCAATCTGCTTTTGCGACGGCATTGTTGTCATTGTCGTGTTTGTAAAAATATTCGATTATTAAAAGCATTCTGTGTTGCATGATAAAATGATTAAAACAGAATGAAATGAAGTTGATTTATCTGAATTTGTATTCGATTGACATGAAATGAAAGGAGATGACCTTAATGTTCCAGTGTAAATGTTTTGAAGGAAAATGAGAAGCCATATCCTGTGATTTTGTATCATTTTTCGATACCTATACATGAGTCGTCTATTATCAAAGGTGGCAATCTGTGCATTTGGACAAAAAAATATTATTGATATGTCAATACAGATTGATTTGAATATAATCGTCTCCTTCAGAGAATACGGTTCAAAACCTGCATTAAATAAAGGTTAATAGTTAACCTGTTATTTATCTAAGATTTCGTTCAGAACAGTTTTGTGACTGCCAATGGAATACAAAGTCAATAATTCGTTTTTCTGATTTACCAATCATTGTCCAAAAGTCACATTGCCGGCTTTGATAATAGTCGACTCACATATGCCAAACGGTTACTAAGTCCCTATTAATTACTAGCAGAAGCATTATAATAAAATTAACAGTCGAAACATTTGACACCGCCTTAGCTGCCCGCGACTTCGCCCGCCAACTCGACGCGCAATGTATTTGTTTTATAAATTTTTTCTTTCTTTCTCAGAAGCTCAGGAACCGGAATCGAAGTCGGACTTCGTGAAGAAGATGTCCATATCGGAACAGAGGCGCTACCTGCCCGTGTTCGCCGTCCGCGAGGAGCTGCTGCAGGTCATCCGGGAGAACAACGTCGTCATCATAGTCGGTGAGCAAAGCGCGGGCTGGTGGGGCGCCGGTGGCGGATCAATATTCAACTTTATTACTACCAGTGTTACGGCTCAATCTCGCTTTTTTGTTGCCATTAAATTAGTTTCAATGTTGCGAATACTATACAATTTTAGTAATCACGGATGATTGGATGATGATTATGCGTATATAATACATGGGGTTAAGGTATTTGAAACGGGAGCTCAACTTAAATTGGTAAATAGACTTTTGTAAATGTGTGGTTATTTACAAGGAAAGGTTTCTTGGAATCGTTCCCGTGGTTTTCTCGAATAAGGATCCGTTCACACAGATCGGCTCGGAGAGGAGAGCTGGTTTTTATCACGTTAGAAACAGGGCTTTGAGTAAAGCTTATTGAAGTGAAACTTCTTATGCGACTTCCAACAAGGTTGCGTTAAACGTCTAACGCTACCGTACTAGAAAGAGACAGAGTGAGAGTTAATGCGCGGCACTCGACCGCATGCGCGCAGTATATATACATGTTACAGGCCAACGCGAGCGTTAGCGATGAGTAGCGTCCAATATTTTAATGAAGTATTTAAAAAATATATTATGTATATTTAATTTTCTATCTGTCATTTAGAATATATCTATACTTATACTTATATACTTAATATTATAAAGAAGAAATATTTGTTTGTTTGTTTGTATTGAATAGGCTCCGAAACTACTGAACCGATTTGAAAAATTCTTTCACTGTTTGGAAGCTACACTATACCTGAGTGACATAGTCAATAATCTTTTTTGAAAAAAATTAGGGATCTTTACTAAAACTCCAATAAAATATTCTTTACATCGCATGCCTTGCGAAAACTATTGATGATAGAAAAAAAGAATGTACTACGACTTTGTAGTGCACATTATTATGTACAAAAAGTCGCGACAGTGTATATGTAACTATTATAGCTATGCCGCAATAAGTGTTCTTTTATTTTAATAAAACAACATCAGATATCGTTGAAATTTTTGTTAAAGACCCGAAGCGGAGCCGGAGCGGGCCGCTAGTATAAGATAAATTAATATAATATTAATGGTCCCCGACAGGCGAGACGGGTAGCGGCAAGACCACGCAGCTCACGCAGTACCTGCACGAGGAGGGGTTCAGCCGGCTCGGCATGATCGGGTGCACGCAGCCGCGCCGCGTCGCCGCCATGTCCGTCGCCAAGCGGGTCTCCGACGAGATGCACACGCGCCTCGGTGAGCACGCACGTCATACACAACCTGGTAGGACCTCTTGTGAGTCCGCGCGGGTAGGTACCACCGCCCTGCCTATTTCTGCCGTGAAGCAGTAATGCGTTACGGTTTGAAGGGTGAGGCAGCCGTTGTAACTATACTTGAGACCTTAGAACTTATATCTCAAGATGGGTGGCGCATTTACGTTGTAGATGTCTATGGGCTCCAGTAACCACTTAACACCAGGTGGGCTGTGAGCTCGTCCTCCCAAATAAGCAATAAAAAAAACCTAATTTCGTATCCTCCCGATCCACTAACAGTGCTTTTAGGTACCTCAAGCACCGGTCATCGTTCTCGTCGAACCCGTCGCTTGCGACGAAGGGCTCGGCGAGTAAATTAACCCTCAGACACAGCCCACTGAGTTTCTCGGCGTTCATCTCAGTGGGACGCGTTTCCGATCCGGTAGTATTAGAAGCGTCGTCAAATTTGAGCCCCGTGAGTTTTGCTACTCGCTCGACAAATCTACTACAGACAGCCCTTCGATGTTACTAGAATAGGTACATTACATACATCATTACATACAGACCAAACTAATAAGAGCGTGTTGAAAATACGTCGATCAGGTGACGAGGTCGGGTACGCCATACGGTTCGAAGACTGCACATCTCCGAGCACGGTCATCAAGTACATGACGGACGGCATCCTGCTCCGCGAGGGACTCCGGGAGCCGGACCTGGACAACTACTCCGCCATCATCATGGACGAGGCTCACGAGCGCTCACTGTCCACCGACATGCTCTTCGGGCTGCTGCGGGAGGTGAGTCTGCTGTACTTGAAGTTAAATTGAAATTTGTGTGCTCTCGTAACGAGATTTGTAGGTACACGACAAAGGGAAGATCTTCCACCGAGCTGGTGATATTGCTCGATAGACCGACGGTCCAAATGTTGTTGTTCGGAACTTGTATATTATGCAAGCTTATCTTGAAAATGTCGTAAGCGTGTTCCAAGCGAGATTCAGGCATCTGTCGAATATCTTGTGTTGTATGATGACTAACCGCCACGGACACGTTATTAAAGCAAATCTAATAGATTTGTCACGCCGAAACATTAGCTGTCTTAAATTTAACTCCGCTCATTTTGAAGCGAAACTTCTTTAGGCGCGTTGATAGTAAAATTTAATTCGCGACAGATTCGTTACGGCTAGAGAGTAAATATACAATTTAGGAAAAGCGAGAGTGAGAAAATAGACAGAGCGTCTCGCGAATCACTCGACTGTGGAGATAGGGAAAGAACAAAGCGAGTTAAGTCGTTTCTCTGATACACAGCATTGCCTATTACAAGAGAAATTTAAGGATGAAAAATGAAGAAAACCACAATATTACACAAGGCAAAAGAAGTTTGACTTCTTTCACGTGCAGCAAGTTGCACGAGCACCTTTTTTTGCTTTATGAAGTTCTTCCAACTACGAACATAAGGAAATCGAAGCTCACAGACTCCACTGCCGCTACCCCCAATAAGACATTAGTTCTCGTTAGTATGGTATACATATGGTATATGAGCTAAAATATGGTCTGAAATAAATGATTATTATTATTATAACAACTGTTCCGTCCTTCAATACGCAACTCACAACAGCCTCGCGGTAGAAATAGGGGGGGGGGGGGGGGACGGGGGGGTTTTGAAGTCGTCGTGGCCTAAAGGATAAGACGTCCGGTGCATTCGTATGAAGCGATGCACCGGTGTTCGAATCCCGCAGGCGGGTACCAATTTTTCTAATGAAATACGTACTCAACAAATGTTAACGATTGACTTCCACGGTGAAGGAATAACATCGTGTAATAAAAATCAAACCCACAAAATTATAATTTGCGTAATTACTGGTGGTAGGACCTCTTGGGAGTCCACACGGATAGGTACCACCACCCCGCCTATTTCCGCCGTAAAGCAGTAATGCGTTTCGGTTCGAAGGGTGGAGTAGCCGTTGTAACTATACTGAGACCTTAGAACTTATATCTCGAGGTGGGTGGCGCATTTACGTTGTGGATGTCTATGGGCTCCAGTAACCACTTAGCATCAGGTGGGCTGTGAGCTCGTCCCACAATTTTCTCTACGCCCACCGTTGGTCGGAGTTGATTCAGCTAAACTGAACCAAGGCCAAACAACATTTATGGGCCCCGAATAATAATATTATTAAGATTGCTGTCAAACATCAAAGTAGCCTTTGACCGAAATTAATTCAAATCTCATTAACTGAAAATCGTGTTAGGATTTGACGTATGCTGTTTCAGTTTTAGGTTCAAAAATTGAACCACATCCCTAAAAAATAAATGCAGTGATGTATTCAACCCTTTAATACGGTATGCAGTTTCAGTTTTAAGTTTAAAAATTTAACCACATCCGTAAAAGATTTATGCAGTGATGTATTCGCCTCTTTAATACATAATAAGGCACAAGGGTCACAGCCAGACGGTCTCCACCGAAGATTCCTAAGCAAAAGAACCCAACTGTGTGAGGTTTTACGTTATTACGCTGTTACTAGGTTATTGTTCTAGATTCAAACTTAGACAAATGAACTGAATTGAACTCATAAAGCTAAAGTTGATTACAACATAAACCATTTTAGCGAAGAGAACAACTTTTCGCCTCTTAATTCTGTACATTATATTATTATTTCGCTACAACATCTAAATCAAAGTAATAAAACAAGTGAAAAAAACATTGGTTTGTTTTTCAATTTTCATTTTCATCGTACGATGATAAACGTTTTGATATTCAACCAATTTCACCTACGAATATAAAATCGAAATATCGATTAAAAAAAACCCAATTTTCTTTTAATCATTTAATCGTTTAAAAAATTCTTCATTATACATAAATAGAACATTCAAAACTTACACTAGTACATTCACAACAGTCAGCATGGTCACGATCAACGTAAACATCTAATTATGTAAAATAATCATGTAAAAATCCAACCGAAGTCTTATCAGTGACTTAGGCGGCAAAAATTATGAATATTAAACGTCCTTGAGCAGTAAATTCTGTTTAAGTCGAAGTTTTAAGAAAATAATAATACAGTCTTGTAATAGATATTGTTGAAGTAATTTTCAGGACTAGGTCGTCACTCTCAGACCTTAAATATTGTCATTAAAAACTTACAGCCAAACATAAGAGCAGTAGGCACAACTTTAAAAGAAAAAAAAAACGTAACATGTCAAATTCGAAATGTCAATTCAAACACGGATTCTAACTTAAAATTTATGTCACCAAAATGAATCGTTCTTAATTCAAATTGGATGAACTTTAAAAACGAAAAAGGTCGGATTAAAAAAGTAGAACTGTCGGTTAAATGTCAAATTTGTGATCAGACAAAATAAATTTCAATGGTAAGTACATAGTTTGTGATGTTAGTCGAACTAAATTTTAAAGTACTGCATCGACTAACAAAATGAAATTGATGACGACCATTTTTCGTTGTACAAATTTATGGTCCAATAACGAATTTAAACATTTAAATTTCTTCCTTTTTTTTTATGTGGAAAATGCTTTCTATAATTTCCTGGTGCCTAATTAAATCTTATGTTGTGTTAGCTAACTACAATTCGCTTAAGATAAACAACGATGTTAACCCAGTAATATCAAGAGTTAGTTATAACTATGACATAAACTATGACATAAATAATAAAATAATAGTTTCGAGCCGATTGGCGTCTTTTTTTGTTTCTTACTTAGGAATGTTTCATATTTTCTTTCTTAATTTTTTCTTTACATACTGTTATACTAGCGAAATTAATAGAAAAGATCGTTTTAATTAAAATACTTTTGAATACTACAGTTAAAAACGGTTCTCGAATATACGCTACGAAATTTTCGAAAAAGAATAAAACGAATACTGGCAGAACAGAGAAATACTCCAAAGAAAATAGTATTAACCAAGTTGAAATTCAAAAAACGAGGAACTATACAGAGCTGCTTAGTACGACCACGAATAATCTGTCATACGTAATCGATTTCTGATGTTGGCCATCTGAAGCAAGCGTAGCATGAATATTTGCCAGCGGTGTTGCCGCTGGAATGCTTTTCTCAAACTGACTTTGCCTTGTCCCTTTTGTTGTGTTGGCTGACGAGCATCACGCCCATGTTCATCCCAACGTTGCCCCATTTAAGAGACTCGCTAATCTGTAACAACGAAATCTTTCATTAGTACTAAAAAAATGTTTGATAAACTGAATTCTTTAAGATTATTTTCTTATGAAGTCGTCGTGGCCTAAAGGATAAGACGTCCGGTGCATACGTGTTGAGCGATGCACCGGTGTTCGAATCTCAGGCGGGTACCAATTTTTCTAATGAAATACGTACTCAACAAATGTTCACGATTGACTTCCACGGTGAAGGAATAACATCGTGTAATAAAAATCAAACCCGCAAAATTATAATTTGCGTAATTACTGGTGGTAGGACCTCTCGTGAGTCCGCACGGATAGGTACCGCCGCCCTGCCTATTTCTGCCGTGAAGCAGTAATGCGTTTCGGTTTGAAGGGTGGGGCAGCCGTTGTTAAGTTTATTTCGAAGGCGTAGCTGTCGTCTACTTCAATTCAAAGCGAACGAAAACGCAAAAACTACATACATATCACGTAAAAACTTAAACATTAACACAAAAGTCATTAGTGAGACCATACAAATTGTTATTGTACAATCGTTTACTAATAATCTAAACTCATTAAAATATCTCAACGAATTCTTAATTAGTTACAAATGATCGTCTGCCACCAATGAAATCATATCTTTGTTTACATAGACTGACAAGTAAACTACCCACCTTATAAGAGTCCTGCCGTCATTAACCAATAATAGCAGTGCAATTTTAAACTGTAAATACCGTTAAACTTTGAAAAGGAATTTGTGAATACCCGATCTTAAAACTACGTCATAATCCGATATCTTATAGATTGGAAAAAATTGTCGTCGGTAAAATAATAACTTTGATAATGCGATATTTATCACTACATTTGGTTGCTAAGAAAGATATATTATGTAGGTAGATTAAAATTTACGCGTCCTTAATATGAGCTTTCATTTGCGACTATATTATATTGTGTCTTTTCTAATGATTATGCCTTTAATAATCAAAATACTATAAAAGTTACTTATTCGCCTTTTTGTTTTGATTTTTAACTACTATTTAGTAATGTTTCAAGTATAAACTAATCCTATTGTGTTATTTTTCAAGTTTATAGAGTTTTAAATCCCTATTCTAATAACCATGATGTAACGACATTTTCGTGTTAGCTTCGATTTTGAAAATTATATGTAGATAAACATTTGTTCTGTCCTTTATATTACGGTGCTGTATGTATCATAAAAAGAAATTGATATTTAATTGGAACTGTATTCATTTTTTTTTTTTTTTTTAATTCCTTAGATGGGTGGACGAGCTCACAGCCCACCTGGTGTTAAGTGTTTACTGGAGCCCACAGACATCTAAAACGTAAACGCGCCACCCATCTTGAGATATAAGTTCTAAGGTCTCAAGTATACCTAGTATAGTTACAAGTGTATGTTTTAAAGAGTGATTCCTTATTTGTGTCAAACATTGAATATTGTAGTGAATTTCTGAAGTAATTCTCAAAATAACAATTAACCAACGTAAATACAATTATAGTGATTCATGCTACTGCTTACGTAAATCTTTTGTTCACTTATGAATTGCAGAATCAGATAATAAATGTTTTGTTTTAAACAGTATAAAGTATACATTTTCATGTTGTCGCTTCCTTGAATCTAGCGAAGTTGCATACTTTTAAACATACATAAACGTATGTATAAATAAATATATATATACATATATGTATATATATTTGCGGATGATTCGCCCAACAATGACACCAAAAGAATTTAAAGAATTGAATTCCGAAAAAGATATTTCATCGTTCACTACGCTTATTTTTCACTGAACTAAACGGAATCAATTTTATGTTTTTGTGTGTGTGCTGTGTGGGTTCTTGTATGCGTTAGGGGGGCGCTGCGATCGGTTTGATCTTTCGCAGATGAAAATCTGCCTGGCTTAGTAATATATAAAATGTAAGAAATATAAAAGATTAAGCTTACAACCTGACAACAGTGACTAAAGAAAAACAATTGAATGTTAGAACAGTTGCGCAGGTCGGTAAATGATTACGTATCCAGTAAGTACGATATTGTTATAGTTACATGGCATCGTTTTTAATAGAATAACATTTTAAAAATAACGTAACATTAAAGTTTTAAAGAATTATTTTCTATCTTACTTTGATCGCCTCTTATTCGTCACAGAGTTGGCAGTCTGTTCTTTTAATACCTTTTATTTCTTTAATGATTTCAATTTTGTTAATAATTTGATTTATTATCAATATTCGTGGAGCGGTTTATAAAAAGAAATTGATAAATCAGATATAACCAAACACTAAGCCCTACATTGTTTTATGCTGTTTAGACATTATGTACAAAAAAAAATACGCATATGTTCTTTAAACATTCCTAAACTGGTTTATCCTGTAAATTTTGTTGTACATTTTTGATTTACTAGTAAACATTTTTTGCTAGATGTCTGAAAACGGCAATAAAACTGTATTATTTTATTTATGATGACGGCATTTACATTGTTGATGTATTAAGCACCAGTAACCACTTACTCCATGGAGGGCCATGAGATATTAATCAAAGCAATAAAAAAATACTTGAAGTCTCGGTAGTATATTATGGTATTGAAAATCTGCCCCACTTTCAAACCAAAACACATTATTGCATATACCTGTACAACAAAAAGCAATTAATTTTAATTATAGAACGATATTACTAATATTAGATAATGTTTGGCGTTCAATTATGACATCGTCTTACGCAATAACTGTTTAATAATTCAAATATAAAATAAAACGAATTAAAAAAGTGGACCATTTTCAAATTATTGTTATTATCGTTACGAAGTGATTGATCAAGAATTTAATAGATTCGTTCCTATACGTAAGTCGAGGTGAATGTACTTTTAGCTTGAAGAATCGTGTTTGTGGTCGGATCGAAGTATTTCTTGCCGTAAAATATAATGTTCTCGACCACTTTAATTATTCGTTTATATACATGGAACACATAAAATGATACCAAAATTCGTCGCACATGAATACTACGCAACGTAGACTTATATTTTAAACACAAACACAAACTACACAACATTAGTGAACAAATAGACTTTCTAATGATGGATTAGAAAAAAATAAACATTTAAAAAGAGTGGGCACATTGAATTAGCACTTTCTAACACCCGTTGTTTAATAACGAAACTCTCACCGGTATCTTGTTGTCAGCTGTAAGGGTCCAAAGCGCCTCAAGAGTTACCATCAAAAGATGATAATCATAGGTGTTTTCGACGTCGTTAAGCTGATCTGTAAACAAAATTGTTCCTTTGTGCGATCTTTTTTTTTTACTTCTGTCCCAAGACCCCATGCAAGGCTGCGTGAACGATCGCCGGTAGTCCGGTACTCCCCTTAATTTCAATGGCCCTTACTTGGAGTTCACAACGAAGCAAACTTAAACAGGATAGGCGTGAACATACAGAAAGCTGGATGATTTGCGATGATCCATTTCGTCTCTCAATAAGTTTTACTCACGGAACAAATGAAAAGCTGTATTTCGTGTTTCGCGAAATTTAATTATCCGATCAATGGAATGGACAGTTTTACAGTTCTTCCGTCAGTTGACTCGCAACGGCATGCATTCTCCTTAATATGAATTAAAAGAAATTGATAATTTATAAATACAGTAACGTGCAGATAATAAAAGCCGATGATGTGCATGAACGTGTTCTTTGTGTATTACAAATGGCGCTGGTTCTCTATTTCCGCTAGTACGTATGAACAGCTGGACTATGAAGAATTCTAGAACATCATCGAATGTTGCAATATGTGGGTTTAAATTACCTGTCTCATGCGAGCTTCTTGCGGCGTCTCACCGTAACGGCACCAATGGACGAAATGCAGGGTATTATGCCAGTTTCTCTCGAATCTGGACTTAGTTGCCATATCCAACTGCAATCAGTAGAAGCCTCGCCTTAGTAGCCGTCCGAACGTTCAATTGTGCCCACAGTATGCATAAAACGAAAGCGACGATGCTTTCGTCATCTGAAATAAGATGGTTTCCAATGCTGACGAAGGCCTACGTTTTCGAAAAGAGAACTTGAAAGTTCCAGAAAATGTGCTGATAGACTTAAGGGCTCGGACTTGCGTGAATTTAAACAAAAATGCTGATAAGAAATTTATCGGATAGAATTTTCTAGAAAATATGGAAAAGGCATTGAAGCGTTAATATTTCATCGAACCTTTTTTTTGTGTGAAGGAGGCAATCTAGATTTGCATTTAAAATGGAGTACGTTTACAGATAAAAAATCTTCGCCGAACCAATTGCGAGTCACGTCTTCACGATCGAATTATCAACAATGTTTACTTCACAGTTTATGTATGTTTCGTAAATATTAAATCGTTTTTATAGTATCAACCGGTAGCGTTATTATAACACAACATTATGAAATCATTTAAAAATTTAACACGTGAATCTAAAGGTTGTGTTATGTCATTTCCTTCGAAACCAGTTTCAAATTAATGAGTTCCTTCTGAGGTTGCTTTGAAGATGTTTTAGCGTTTCAACATTGTTACAAACTTAAAGGCCACGTATGGACTTGGCATAGATTATCTTATCGTAAAAATTGACGCGACTCGTAAAATTAGGGGATTTTTTCAAGAATGTATTGATAAAGTGTCGATATTTTTTTTGCATTGGTACGTATGCTAGTGTGGACTCATAGAGAACGATTTGGTTATAATTAATCACCTTAGATCTGATATCTTTTTCGCTGTTCGGTGTCTCCTGTTTGTCGTCCACGTTGTTGATGCGTATAACAGAGTCTTGCTTCCAGAATGCGCTTAACGTTGTTTTTATCACACGTTTTCTCACACCTTTCTGTTGTACCGTGTAGACGTCTATCTGTTCGGGGTTCTTTGTTTTTTCTGTTGGAAAATTAGATAGCATTTGATTAAGGAACTAAATTAATCTTTAGTGCAAGGCACTATCCATTCATCGATATAATACCTTAAATAGACCGGACATATATTAAGATTACATTTTAAATTCATCACACGCTGGTATTAATGTAAACATTCAAGCGTAGGCGTAAACGTTTCTACATGAATTATTTACAAATGCTATTGTGTATGCGACCGGCGACGCGACGTGCGGCCATGACTGCACCATGCCAACTTTATTTAGTAAATTTTAGTCTCGCCTCGAGACTCGTATTGTACACACGTATGCACTGGCTATAACGCCCTCATTTCAATAAATGTTTCGCAACTCGTTAATCGCTCAAAAGCGGTTCAATACTAATCTATGATCGAAAACTGTACACACCTTTACCCTTCTTCCACATGGCGACGGCATACATATGGTAGTCTGGTGAGAGAGTCGAATCTGGCGGCAAAGGGTCTTGAGCTCGCACCTCGAGGATGAATCCTGATTCCAGAACAGCGCATAATATGTTCTGTTCATCGTGCTTAAACCACTTGGTCTCGCGGAGTTTGTGGATGGCCACCGAAGATCCAAAACGTGTCTTCTTGGGGGCGAAAAGTGCTTGAGCCTGGCTCCCGAATCTGGACAGTAGGCCCTTCACCGTCGGCTGCGGCGCTAGGGTCTTTTCGGGCGGCTTGATCTGCTGGAAACTCCGGCAAGTTACGAACCTCGCTTCCATTGAACCCACTCCTGTGACGAATTCAAAAACAATTCCCGAATTCGATAGTTTAGAAATTGTTCTTAATCTTCGCGACTCGTTCGCGGCAAATGTACTCTCACTTCTACAAATCACGTACAACAAGCAGCACTTTCACAATATTTGTGGCGCGTGGTATCGAGCGTATCGCAGTACTCGGTTACATGGAAGCTCACTAACGAAAAACGCGGCGCGCGTGTCGGCCCGTGCTTTTATACTAGAGAGGGGGTGAACGCGGGATGAGGAGGTAAAGACGGTCCACACTAGTGCTGGGAACGTAACGTTCAACTTTGTTATTTCGCTTATCGTCGTGTACTATTGAAATCCGACAAAGATTTTAATTTATGTTAACAAAATTTTAAGAATTAAAGTAGGTGAAAACAATAGTGTAACTAACTGTACGGACGCAAAGATTTACCAGACGTACTGCATAATTATGCCGATTTAACGTACAAAGAACAACCAAACCCATGACATTTCCAAGAACTTTTTTCAAAATTTTAAATATTTTTTGTAGTTGAATATTAATATTAAATTCTTCCTTTATACTTAAAGTTATTCGTTGACCTACATTAAGTACACGACTACATAAAATGTGTCATATGTACGGTCCTACCCTATTTTACTGGTGATAGGACCTCTTGTGAGTCCGCACGGGTAAGTACCACCGCCCTGCCTATTTCTGCTGTGAAGCAGTAATGCGTTTCGGTTTGAAGGGTGGGGCAGCCGTTGTAACAATACTGTGACCTTACAACTTATATATCAAGGATCCGAATACCGTAACCACTTAACACCAGGTGGGCTGTGAGCTCGTCCTACAGTATAAGCAATGAAGAAAACTCTAGAATTGATTATTCGCTTGGGGTCTCCACTTTTGTCCCATCAGTTAGACCATTGTCGCTTTTTGCAGAATGAAGCAACGAAATCAATTATAAAATGTGATCCACATCACTACGATGCACCGAGGTTGACCTCACTCGGTGCTGAGCGCCACACCCCCCGCAGCACCCCTCCCCTCGAGTCCCCTCTCCCGCCATCGCCACTCGCGGTATGAAGGCGCCAGCCGGCAACCAACCTGCGAAACAACATTTTTTGTACCGTTTTTATTGCGATACCGTAATAACAATTGATTATACATTGTTGTTTACATGTCGGAGAAACTTTTTCGTTCATTTTCAGTACTTGTAACGTTCTGTTTCAAAAATGTCAAACTCGTCCGTGTAAACTGTGGACACAACATTAAAATATAAAATAGCTAATATTATTATTAATGCCGATTCTTACCATGATTTTTCTTTTTACAAGCTGATATCACGAGTGGATTGTGTAGAAATATCGGAAAGTCATTAAAACCAAAAATCGTGATAACCTTCAATATGTAATTGAAACCATACAAAAGTAAAACCAATCTTCCTTTCTTTCCCAAAACCTCAAATTCCGATAAAAACGTTATGTATTTTAATTTATTTAAATTACGCACGATTAACATGCTCCAAATGGAAAGATATTCTTATTCTAATCGTATCAGGGTTAACGTTTGATAAATTTGGCTGTAGGTACTGAAAATGTCTCGAATGGCATCACCGACTTGCTATGGGTAGCGTCTTAGTAGTTTCAACAGCTTGGGGTATTTAATGAATTTTACTACGCTTACCGACCAGCTTGATTTTAACCGCCAAACAGATACGAGAAATTTCGATTTCATATGGTCTTAATATCGACTACAAAAAAAATATAACAGTCACAACGAGGCGTGGCTGTTACATTAAAATAGTACAGAATAATAAGTTCGTGAATGCCATGGAAAACGTGTTTCGAATACCAGTTTTGTAATTGTCGATTCGGTTTTCAAAACTCGAATCTATCGAGCCGGCTAAGACTGACGCGGTGATTCATGCGATATTCTGCTTGCTCCGTGCAAGTTACGTACTAAGCCCATAGATTTTATTGACTCTCTCTGAAATTTAATCATGGTTTTAAATTATTATTAATTGTGCTTACGTTATTTGCTTGGTCAAATTTGATTGACAATTATATTTTAAGTAAGTACCAGTGGTAGGGCGTCTTGTGAGCCCGCACGAGTAGGTATCGCCACCTTGCCTAATTTCTGCCTCAAGCAGTACTCATATCTCGATGTGGATGGCGGCGTTTACGTTGCTGATGCCTATGGGCTCCGGTAATCAATTAACACTAGGTTGACCCTGACCTTTGCCACTAATCTAAGTAATGAAAAAATCCAATTTGCTAGTTTAATTTGCGCTCGTGTCGTTCGTGACATAATTGCGTCGCGCGTGCTTCTCATGCGAGATGTCACAAGCTCGCTGCCGAACCATCGATTGAAGTATGTTATCAATGTTTTATGTCATGTCATGCCGGCTTTACACGCTCGTTTCGTTGTCACGTGTGGCTCTCGTCCGCTCTCGTCGCGTAGTCTCGACACGAGTCCATACCGTGTAGACGCTCGCTGAACTTTTTTATTTATTTTATTGCTTATTTGGGTGGACGAGCTGGTATTAAGTGGTTACCGGAGGCCGTAGACATCTACGACGTAAATGTCGCCACATATCTTGAGATATTTGAAGTCGTCGTGGCCTAAAGGATAAGACGTCCGGTGCATTCGTATCTAGCGATGCACCGGTGTTCGAATCCTGCTGGCGGGTACCAATTTTTCTAATGAAATACGTACTCAACTAATGTTCACGATTGACTACCACGGTGAAGGAATAATATCGTGTAATAAAAATCAAACCTGCAAAATTATAATTTGCGTAATTACTGGTGGTAGGACCTTTTGTGAGTGCGCGCGGGTAGATGCCACCCTGTCTATTTCTGCCGTGAAGCAGTAATGAATATCGGTTTGAAGAGTGGGGCAGCCGTTGTAACTACACTGAAACCTATGCTACATTATTTAGAAGCGTATAATTATATGAATATTCCAATAATATGAATGTATTTGAATAAATAAACATTGATTTTGGTTTTAATACATACTTACTTCTAAACTTAAATTATCCGGACTTTCTAAAATCGAATTAAAATAATTTACTGATACGGTTCTCAGCCGCTTTCTAATATTATATTATAAAAGATTGGTGGTAATCATAGTATAAAATAACAATCTATATACAGTCAAACCTGGATAAGCGAGAGTTCAAGGGAGCACAATCTCATTCTCGCGTATAGAGGTTTCTCACTAACCCGAGTTTCTCGCTAATGCTCCCTCTGAATTTCGTTTCGCGATTTTCTGGATTCAAACGCATTTACTATTTTAAGTTTATCACTTAATGAGAGTACTTTAATTTTCCGTTTTGACATGATGCAGAACAGAACTTTCCTTCGCAATTGATTAACGATAAACTGAGTAAGTCCGACAAACAGGAAAGTACACAGGCACACGTGTCCATTCGAAAAGAATGCGATAAAATTATTTATATTAGATATTTAGTTCCACGAAATAGAACAGGTTCAATATTGAGGAAAAAACAATACAAGAGTCATAAAATAGCAGATCTTACATTAGTAATTTGTTTTGTCATTTGTTTCTCCTAAATACTATAAATAAATACAGCTCGACTGTCGCTTATAGAGGTATAGATAAGTAGCAGTCTCACTTACGGAGGTCCATGAGGGAAAAACGGCTGTCTCTTACAAAAGTTTCTGTTTCTCGCTAATAGAGGTTTTAGGAACCTAAAATGACGGGTCCTGGCTATTACTCTCACTTATCCAGTTCTCACTTACCCAGGTTTGACTGTATATAAAAATGAATTGCTGTTCGTTAGTCTCGCTAAAACTTGAGAACAGCTGGACCGATTTGGCTAATTTTGGTCTTATATTATTTGTGGAACTCCAGAGAAGGTTTAAAAGGTAAATAAAGATATGAAAATGCTGGGAATTAAATAAAAATGACAATTTTGTTTTTCCTTTGATGTGTCCTCCGTCGGACGTATTCCTTTTGTTTGTTTTAAGTTTATTTTATACAAAAGTTTAGATCTTTTATTTATCGATTGAGGCACGACGAAGTCTGCCGGGTCAGCTAGTAATAAAATAAAAAATAAGATAAAAGGCATCAATACTTCAAAACAATTAAAGATTTTAAATAACGATAGCTTCGATTCATCAATATACGTATAAAAATGTGCACGACGGAGATTTTTAGACCTTCTGTTCTACAATCTTTAACATTTCGGAACTCTCAAGAGTTTATCGTCATTACGAATTGATCGACTGTAAATTGTTTACTTAAATAATAATAACTAAGCTAACTTATTTACATTCGATATTTCAACATCTAGGAAAGATTAACGTGTACAAATTCGGAGTTGGCATTCCGTGTTTTGGTCAAAATGCGTTATTGCTTTTTTTTCTACCTATGCTGATAGCCTTGAGAGGCTATATCAGCGTTACCGGACGAGTAGGTGAGCTCACGAGGCTCAAACCTTGCGAAGTTGCTAACACTAGCCATTAGCTACCACCGAATCGGAAACGCGACCCACTGAGAAGATCCGGTGAGAAACTCAGTGAGTTCGTTGTTGCCAATACATCATGGCCGCATCAGATTACGTGCGTGTAAAAACAGCAAAGAAAATGGGAAGTTACTCATATGCATTTCACTGTACTATGTTTATCTCAACTTATCAGTCTGAATGAGTTTTATCTACTGTACCAAAGTCATACATAGCTCGACATGCGTTATCTTGTTGGTGTACTAATAATTATTTTACCAAATTTAATTGTAAATGAATATGTAACTTTTGACCTTGATCCCCGTTCCTTTGTTGGATCTGAAGTCTTTAGAGACGCTTTAAACTTTGCAACACAAAGTACCTCATTGTTTACTGTATTCAATTCTAAGGTCACATTTGAATGATTTATTACTTCAGAAATGCTTTCGGTAATTATGTTACTTAACAATCCAAAGATGACTGTGCAATACATAAATACACGAAAGGTAGCCATGTCATATTAAAATTTATTACATATATTTAAGGTGCAAAGTACAATGGCATTGTCTTTCAAGATTTGAAAAAAAAAAAAAGTCTGGCTGTGTCCGCCCCATTGTCGAATTCTATCAGAACAGAATGAATATTTTGTCATATACGATATTTTTGTGATGTCTATACGCTTCTGGGACCACTTAATACCAGATGGCCCGTGAGATCGTTCACCTGTCTTCTACGCTATAAAAAGATAAATAC